TTCCCTTCACTGCCCTCTCGTCCTTACAGTCACCTCCCATTCACAAACTATCCAACCATTTCCCACCCCTTCCAATCCGTTCTCCATGCCGCCATCAGAATTCAGGACTGCCATCTTCTCCCACTTGTATCGCCCATCCTTGTCTCCCAACCATTTCCCACCCTCCCCAATATCTTCCTACCCAACACCCTCCTCTCTAACCCTCTCCGCATCTCATCCATCAAAACGATCATCAATTCCTCTCTGCCGGCCACCTCTCTCCCCTCACTGCCCTGCAAACAGTCACCTCGCATCCACCAGCCATTCAATCCTTCAACCATCCAACCATTGCCAACCCCTCCCCAACCCTTTCTCCCCTGTCAGGACGGTCGTCTTTTCCTCTCTACCGGCCACCTCTCTCCCCTCACTGCCCTCACTGCCCTCCGTGCCGCCCAAACTACATGCCATGTCACTGGGCCCTCTTGCTGACGTGGATGTGTGGCGGCTTGAGACTGACGCATTCAAGGTGACACATGACTCGGGATCATTATCTCGGTGAGGGGAGAGAGGCTGCGTCTGTCCATTGATTTCTTTTCTGCGGGCAGCCCTCATCCCCTTTCAGCAGCGAGGTCTGTTTTGAGATACTTCAAATAACATGCACCAATTCAGCGCTATGTTGGCAGATATGCGTATCACGTATAATACGCTAGCGTATTATACGCTGGGTATATTCGCTATACGCCACGGCTGGCGTACTGCTGATATGCTAAAATACGCTGGGCGGGCAGGAAAAAACTTTTTTTTTTCCCGGGCAGGTTCCGCCCTCGAACTGTAGGGAGTAGAGTTCGCCATGGCGAGGAAGTTCTAAAGCTAGGAGAGTTCGAGCTCGACGAGAGTTGGACGAAATGCAATAAGATAAATGCGGGATTGAGTGAAAGACGAGCTGTTTAGGACGCGGTAAAAGTGCAAATATCGAGCCCAACAATCGAGTGGGCAGATCGATTGGCGAAACGTGGCGACTGCGACGTTGTAACGATTGCACCTGAGAAATGACAGATCTCCCGCGATTAGTGATCAGTCGCATTCACACACTGCACAAAAATTGGCCAAAACGCGTACTGTAGTATGGCTACAGCGTAGTTAATAGGGTAACCAATCCGCACATCGATCGTGACTGACGATCGATCGTCTACTTTCACCGCGTCCTTAGGGATTGAGGAGATGTTCGGAGTGAAAGGGGGGAGGTTGGGTTTGGGAGGTTGAGAAGGGTGGTGTGTGGTTGGGGATGTGGGAGGGGTTGGATTTTGAATTTTGAATTGCAGGTGGGGGTTGGGTGCTGTGCGAGGTCGAGGGTTCAATTTGTTGAAGTGTTTTTTTTTTTACGGGCTGCCCTGGCATATTTTAACGATTTCCAGGCGTATTAGCGTATTTCGCGCATACGCTAGCGTATATACGCAATACGCCCACCCCCCAAGGGCGTATCTGCCAACATAAATTCAGTGTTCCGTTGTCCCTTATTCCCCACCCAACCCAACTCCCCCCCCTCCCTTCCCCCCCCTCTCTCCCACAGCCCTCATCCCCTTCTCCCCACATCTCCATCAATCGCCCACCACCCTCGCTCCACTCCACTTTTGAGACATCTCAAAAGTCGCTCCAGTCCCCTCACTGCCCTGCAAACAGTCTCAAAAGTCGCTCCAGTCCCCTCACTGCCCTGCAAACAGTCTCAAAAGTCGCTCCAGTCCCCTCACTGCCCTGCAAACAGTCTCAAAAGTCGCTCCAGTCCCCTCACTGCCCTGCAAACAGTCTCAAAAGTCGCTCCAGTCCCCTCACTGCCCTGCAAACAGTCTCAAAAGTCGCTCCAGTCCACTCTCCAGTCCACTCTCCTGAATCATCGCATCCGTCTATTCCCTCCATGCCTCTGCTTTCCGCCAGCGTTTCCCTTCGCAGCCCTGAGCCCCTCCTCTCCCCGCCATAGCTTAACGTTCATCAGACACCACCATTCTTGTTTCCAACTGTTTTGATCTGCTTCAACTGTCCCTTCCTGCCTCTCCCATTGTGCCTGTTCCACTAGCCATCAAGCTTCACAGCCCCCTCTCCTGTCCCTCATCCCCATGCCCCTGTTCTCTCCAGGGGTCACCCTTTGCAGCCCTCACCCCTCTCCCCGCCATCGCCTTCCTCCCATCCGGCAGTCTCATCGACGGTCTCCCTGCTGCTCTCCTCTCCCATGTATGTTTCACCTTCCCTCGCCTACCCCCTTCGGTTGTCACTATTCCGTGTCTTTTCTCTCTCCCTCCTTCCAGTAATGCTATAATTTTCTCCCCATCTCTGCTCTCCCCCTCCCTCGCAGCATGTTCTCCCCTTGTCCTCTCGTGCACCATTTCCCCCTCCCCTTGCGCTGTTCCTTCCCTTTCCTTCCCTCTCTGCTGCATGTTCCCTCCCCACTTCTGTTGTTCATGCACACTCCTCTATTGGGCATTCATACGCGCTCTCTCAACCGTCGCCTCTGACCATTTTTGAGGCGCTTCAGAATCTGATTTCCTTTCTTCATGCACGCTCCTCTATCAGACGTTTACCCATGCTCTCTCAACCGTCACCTTAGGCATGTTAAAGCCCATCAGCGTACTTGAAGAGCTTCTGAAATGCGCCCACTACCATTGTGAACATATGACTGTCCCACCGTGACCATGTCCCGACTATGCCCCCCATCTTGACTCTGTCTGTCCCATCAATACTCTGTTCCTATCGTTTGCCTCCTTTTCCTACTTTCCGTGCTCCTCTCCTCCCACTGTCCCCCATATTTCCTGCCCGCAGTGTCAGCTGCGCCATCTGCCAGCTGTCGTGCTCTCATTCGTGGACCGCCACTGGAGTGGCAGCTCCCCAGGCACGGTGCGAGGCATGGCATTGCTCATGGGGGAACTCGTGGCGGCATGTGCTGTTGGTGCCCAAGGGCGTGGGGAAGCTGGAGAACAGGGACCAGGAGCAGGAGTGGAGGAAGAGGGGGGTAAGGCTATGAGGGAGGCGTTGTTGAGGGCAGGCGCCATGTGGGCGAAGCAGTGGACTGCCGTGCCGGCAGGGCATGGGAACGGGGCTGCTGAGCTGTACGTGTGAAGGGGAATCAAAGGCACTGCCACTGGAGCAGCAGCAGTAGCAGCAGAGGTGGATGGGGGTATGGCGGTGAGGGAGGCCCTGCTGAGGGCAGGAGGAGTGGGCGAAGCAGTGGAGTGCTGTGCCGGCAGGGCATGGGAACGGGGCTGCTGAGCTGTACGTGTGAAGTAGAACGGGCTGGGGTGAATTCCGTTAGTGTATCAGAAGGGACTGCTGTTGGAGTGGGAGGGCAGCCCCCACCGGGTGGGAGGGCACCATGAGAGGCATGGCTTGGCTCACAAGTTCAATTGTGGAGGCTGAGTGCTGGTGCGGAAGAGCTGGAGGAGCAGACAGACTGCTGTTGAAGTGGGAAAGCGGCTGCTCTGAGTCATTGCTGGGGAGGGGACGGAGGTGTGAGTCATTTGTGCTGGGCGGGGCACGGAAATGGGCTCCAGGGACTATTTAAAAGTTTAAGGGTTCGCTTGTCGAAACGGGTCCCCACCGGAGCAGCTTTCACTTCTAGGAGATCAACATGCTTTGTGTGGAGCAAATATGCTTTTTAAATCTTCTAGTGGCCTAGGACGAATTCCTCTGAATTTATTAACGAGGATGCTAATGACGAGCGCACACTGACGTGACGAAATCGAGTTTATAAAAAGTTTGTGCATTCGTTTCTGTACAATGAGAAAACCCTTTCTGTTCCATACAACGCACACACATATCTTCCTCACGCGCCGCATCTCCCGCCAGTCTCGCTCGAGCATTAGGGCCTTGCCTCCTTGTTCTTCTAGGCTGCACCAGCAGGATGTTCCTCGTGAGAGCATTCCAAACCCTTGTATGTCGGATGGAGCGATGCGTCGTTGCGACGCACCATGATGCACCATGCATCATGATTTACGCATGCCGTGCCGATGTGTGTTTCTCCAAACCACGGCACTTGGCATGCAGCTGCAGTCACGTCGCGTTGGTCCGAGACTCCCCTGCGGCTGCGGCCCTGCGCGATGGCCACTAGGTATGACGAGTCAGGAGGGAAAACGAGGGAATGAATTTGCGATACCTCGTTGAGCGACTCGGGTGTAGATATCAGGAGAATGGGCGACACGGGTGCAGATATCAGGAGAATGAGCGACTCGGGTGTAGATATCTGGAGAATGAGCGACTCGGGTGTAGATATCATAGCTCAGTGGAGCCGTTCGAGGCGCATGGGCTTGAGCAATCTGACCTGTCTTCTGATTCTGACACCTGGCAAGGAAGGCGGCCGTCGACACCAGTGGTTGTCATTCGTTTAGATGCTGAAATGGCGTGCGTTCGTTCTCATCCACATCGTGTTTCACGCACTCAGAGTCAAAGCGAAAGGACTTCTCGTATAGTTGGAGGCTTCCTGCACCCAGTTTCTAGCATCATCCTCGGCGCATCGCAAAGCTCATTCTATTCGAATGCTGAGGTGTGCGAGGCACCAGTGACCCGTCGAACTTACGGTCCTTTCGGTTGCTTCGAAACTGGCAGCGACCTTGCGTCAGTCACGAAGGAGACCCTGGCGGATTAGCAGCTTCCTCTGTCGTTCATTACTCAACGTTAAGTGAGTAGTAGCTACAGCAGTGAGCATGATTGTGGGTGGATACCTGACCTCTGCCTGAGATACGTGGCTTATCCTGGAACGCCGCGTCTTCCTTGTGCAACGTTGTTCATTTAGATTAAGATTCTTAGGTCTGCATACATATTGGCGTGCAAGAAATATGCGAACAGCAGTACGAGTCTCCGAGACTGAGTCACTTGCTGTCACCCGCTTAGTCGGCCAGTCTTCCCAGTGCCGCCCCGCTCTCCTGGTCTCTCACCTTTTCCTTGTCATATCGTACGTTTTCTCTCTTACGACCAAGCAGGCGGGGAGGTGGAGGCCGCAAAAGAGCTGGGATTCTGACATCTGTGGAGCGGACGCTATGGAAGGTAAACTCGCTGGGCCCTTGGAAGCTAAAGAGCCTTTGGCTTGACAGTCGGCTTGTTCATGCAGGAGGTATTTTTAGAATTCTCGAGAGCCGCCTCTTTCCATGTATTCTTAACTGTCACCGTGTCTCATGTGTAGCGCATGCCGGCTCAGCAGCCTCAAGCAGGTAACCATGCGGTTAAGCAGCCGCCCTTACTAACCGCGTGCAACCTCTTGCTCTTCTGTTTTCTTTCCCTCACTTCCTTACCTGTCTTGTTGAGCTCCCTCTATTGCAGTCGATCCCTTGTCGGTGACGTTCCGGTGGCAGATCGATGGTTTCTCCAAGCTGACAGAGCGGGCGGTCTATTCCAACACCTTCCTGGTTGGGGGGTACACCTGGTGTGTGCTCCTGTTGGTCGCTGTTCAAGCTCTTGAACTGAAAGTGTTTGCGCACACGTTGCTTGCTGACAGATATCAGCAACAGCAGTTGTTGAGCCAACAGCATTGCTACGTCCCTGCCCCTGTGTTTTTGCGATTGTTTGTTCCTACATCGTCTCATAGGATCGCGCGTCCCTCCCTCTCCTACCCTCCTTCCTTTCTCTAGGCGGTTGGTGATGTTCCTAGAGGGGGCAGGAAACTTGACAGCTTCCTGCCTCTTCACTTCTCAAAATGGTTGCTAGCTAATGTTTCGATGTGGCTTTTTTTTTTTTTTTTGATTAGTTGCTAACAACATTGATACGTCCCTGTACCTGCTTGCTTACCTTTCTTGTCAGAAACATCAGCCTCATAGGATCGCTCATACGTTCCTCTCCTTCCCCCTTCCACCTCTTACCAACCATCAGTAGTATATCTATAGTTGTTCCCCCATCCTCCTCCTTACTTTCTCTGTGTAGGCGGCTGATGATGTACCCGGAAGGGAGCAAAGATCTAGAGGACTTGGCGTTGTTCCTCGGCGTGGCGAATTACGCAACTCTGCCGCCCGGTTGGACCAAGCACATGGACTTTGTGTTGACTGTGGTCAACCAGTTTGACCGGACAAAGTCAGTGCGGACAGGTATGAGTCAGTACTGAGCGAGCCAAGCGAGCAGGAAAGGGATGAGGGCTGATTGAGGTTTTTTTTTTTTTTGTTGGAGAGTGGAAAGGGGTATGGGGTATAGGGTGCATGCAGCGCCCAGTGCATTCGATCGTATGGGTCATTGCGATGTCCCGGATGCCCATTGTGGAGTCCGCTAACAAGAAAATGGCATGGCACTGACGACAATTACTGTGCGCGGACGTAACTGCCTTCCGGTGCCTGCCCCCAGTGTTGTGCTCAATGTGACCTGAGTGAGTCTGTTGAAACACAGGTTGATTTGCTGCTTCCTGTATGAGGCGAAGGATATACTGGCATTTGTGTGTGAACCTGGAGGGAGTAAGTTGAGTCTTCTGTGATGTCATATGATGCATGAGAATGTGTCCGTCCGGGTGAATTCTAAAACATTTGAAAGCATCTCTCGTTCCTAGTGTATCATTTCAGCGCTCTTATGAGTTGGAGCTCACAAACCTCCCCTTATTCGATTTTCCATTTTGTCAAACCACGTGGTTCATCATCCCTAGCAACAAGCCAGGAGAAGTACAGCGCATGCTCAAATAACCGGGGTTGGAATTCCATCATGCCACTCAAGGATCTTAACGACCACTCTAAAGGCTTCCTCGTTAACGACACTCTGTTCATTGAAGCCGAGGTGAAAGTGTGTGATAAATCAAAGAGTCGCACGGGATATGTGGGGCTCAACAACCAAGGGGGCCTGTGCTGCATGTCCCCGTTGATTCAGATGCTGTTCTACATCCCCTTCTTCCGGAAAGCCGTGTACCGCGTGCCTGTCTCTGCAAATGACTCTCACACTGGCAGCATCCTTTCAGAGCTTCAAAACATTTTTTACAAGATGCAGTTCACCGATACTAACGCTTCCACCAAGGAGTTCACTAAGAGGTTTGGGTGGGAGGAGAGGCGATTGATGAAGATGAAGCATGATGCACATGAGGTGTACCGGGTGCTGTGTACGAAGCTAGAGGAGGAGATGAAGGGGACATCTGTGGAGGGCAGTCTGGAGAAGCTGTTTAATGGGCATGTTATGAACTACATTGAGTGTGTCAACGTGGATCACAAGTCCGCCTCGAAAGAGCCATTTGCTGGTGAGTGCTGATGAGCATGAATGAATGTTTTTTTCTGGTGAGTGCTTTTTGAAACACGGTATTACAGTCAGCCTCGACGTTTGATACTGTCCTGTGCAGTGTTTCTATAAATCCCCCCTTGTGTTCTATAAATCCCTGAATTCTGGCCGTGTTGGTTTCGTGCAGGCTTGCTACTGAATGTGAAGGGGTGCAAGGACGTGTACGCGAGCCTGGACAAATATGTAGAGGCGAAGAATCTTGATGGCAACACCAAGTTCTATGCGGAACAGCATGGGGTGCAGGTGGGTGTTTGCTGGTTAGCGCAAGGGATAAAGTTCGTCTAACAGGAGTTAGCAAGGGTAAGGCAAGGATCACGCTGCATCTGATAGATAGGTTCCATTATTGCATTGCTATGTACCATGTTCCACTGGTTCCTGCACCTAAAATTAGGACCATACATGGCTTTGCGGTGTTTATGTTGTTTCTGCTTGCTATTTCTTCTACCCAGTTCTGTTGCCTCTTTATCACCTGCACGTTTTCTCTGCTGCTTTTGGACTTTTTTTTGCCCTGGTTGCTTCCTACCTAGTCTCACAATGACAGGCCACCACCAGAACCCCTTCCTTTTTGCAAACCGTATCTTCCATCTTTATGCTTTCCGTCTTCTGTATGCTATTGACAATGGCAGGACGCTAAGAAAGGTGTGCTTTTTGTGGACCTCCCACCGGTGCTGCAGCTGCATTTGAAGCGGTTCGAGTATCGGTTCTGGAATACATTGAAGGTGCTATGTTAAGAGTTTTACAACTTTCACTTGTAAAACTACTAACTCTTTGGCTGCCAGAGGTTTTTTAGCGATTAAGATCCCTGCTCAATCATCTAGCATGTGTATTTCTCAACTCCCTTCTTGCATTCCCCGTGTGTTGTTGATTGATCCTCTCCCTCCCTTCAGGAGCTGGAGTAGAGACAGCCTATTCCCTGCTCCTTCCATAACCTTCTATTCTCTGTTCCGTTCCTCTACCCCCTTCGCCTTGCCCTCCCACCGCCACAACCTCCAACCCCCACCTTCACTCCAGGTCAAGGATCGGTTTGAGTTTCCTCTCGAGCTGGACATGGATAAGGACAGTGGCAAGTACCTCACCACGGACTTGGACAGGACTGGCCGCAATCTCTACCTGCTGCACAGGTGTGACAAGGCTTGAGCTCTGGCACTCCCATCTGTGCAGTTGTGCACAGGTGAAAGCTGCAGGGGTGGTAGGAAGGACTTTTGTTTTTATTGGGAGTTGGGGCGCTAGGGAATTTAAACATTTGGTTCAGTCTCGGGAGTGTAAACATGTGCACAGGTCAAAGCTATGACATAGACCTGCACAAGGCACTCGGCATGGGCATTGGCCCAAACCAAGGGCTCTGCTCGGCACATGAGGATGTTGCTTTTTCGCTCTTTCGTGCTGTATTTGCAAGTGTGGGCATCATCAATGCACACTTGTTTTTTTGTTGTCCCAATTCCTGAGCTGCCTCCCTTTTCTCCACGTGAAAAAAGGAGTGTTTTGAGATGTCTCAAAACACTCCTTTTTTCACGTGGCTTCACTATTTCTGGTTCCTGTAGATTTCTGCTAGCGTGGAAGCTGCCTTTCCGCTTGAAACGAAGGCTGATTCAATCGAGGCTTCAACCTGTCGCAGTTAGAACTGCATGCGACAAAGGTGGTGTTACCACCTTCTCGATTTCTCAGCCCTGACTACCAGCTTTCGCGAACACCTCAGTTGGGTTCACCTCGAGATGTCATTTCCGCCTCGACATTCACATTCTCATCCATCTGCCTGTCTAGCTTAGCTTGATCGTAGAGTATATCAGCCAGCTTGTTCATTACCGTTTCCTAGCTTCAGGCTTGTTTGTACTGATGAAGGCTTGCAAAAGCCGAAACTAGTTTACTCAAGTTCTGACGTTAAGATTCGATTTTGTTCAAACTGGCTTACTAAAATACGATCTAGCATACAAGCTTAAACCAGGCTCACCATTTTCATTTCATGGAGTTTGTCTCGCCGTCTCAGTAACACTCAGGTTGATGGACATCAGACCTCCGCAGCCCACCTGTTTACTAATAACAAAATTATCCCATCTTTACACAGCCGGGCTGTGACATGGAGCTTTGTCTACCTCTTTGTATACATGACCAAAAACCGCATTAATTGGTTTTGGTCGAACCACCACCAAGTTAAACCGAACTGGTTTGGTTGAAGTCAAACAGAAACGGGTGGGGCCCAGGTTCGAGGCTTCACCCAAGCACTCGAGCCTTTTTCAAGGGTCGAGCTGAACTGGCTGCGGTTTTGTTTGACTAGGGGCAGAAAAGTGGTTTCAGGGCTTAGTGGAATGTGAAAATTGTGTATGTGCGAAAGCATATTTTGGCCTTTTCCGAGTGATCTAATGGTGATAGTGGTCGTTTTTGTTGGTGCGTTTTCTCTTTAGTGTTGATGTTGATGAGTACTCTGGAGCTCTTTCTGGGATGGGAGGAATTGGATTTGTGCAACACTTTTGAATCATCCCACCAAAGGTTGTTTGTAGCTCGATTCGATTGCACCGAATCGTCTATCATCCTTAGTATGTCCATCATGATCCATCCCTGCCCTCCCACCCACTCGTATTCTCTCACGCACACACACAGTGTTCTGGTCCACACCGATGGAGTTAATGATGGCCACTGCTATGCCTTGATTCGTCCGAACCTCGGATCTCAATGGTATGCTTCGTGTCTGACCATGGCTGATGCAGAATCCAATCTTGATTGGTTTCTTTCTAGATTGGTCCTAGTTTCGATACTTCCTCATTCTTTTCATGCTTCACTGTGTGCCATTTGGCATTTTTGGGTATGGTTTCTGTAGTACATTGACTATCAGGACATGCATGCACAATCTTGCTATATGCGCTATACGTGCACCACTCGCCCTTGCCAAGCAGGTACAAGTTTGACAATGAAGAAGTAGAAAAGGAGCAATTCAAAGGCGACGAGGAGGTATGCGAGTCCTAAATTGCAAGTTGAAACCGTGGTATTTTTGCATAGGCGTCGGAAGATGTGACGTGCAAATGCTACATGATATACGTTTGCCAAACATGCGTTGCAGTGGTAACTAGAGTTTCGGGTGAATGTATGAATCCCTTTTACCCGAACCTTTACTCACAGGATAATGGTGTCAAGCCATCTGTTCAGCTTGAAGTAGGGTTTAGCACGAACCGAACTGAAACCTATGGTGTCGAGCCATCTGTTCAGCTTGAAGTAGGGTTTAGCACAAACCGAACTGAAACCTATGGTGTCGAGCCATCTGTTCAGTTTGAAGTAGGGTTTAGCACGAACTGAACTGAAACCTATGGTGTCGAGCCATCTGTTCAGCTTGAAGTAGGGTTTAGCACGAACCGAACTGAAACCTATGGTGTCAAGCCATCTGTTCAGCTTGAAGTAGGGTTTAGCACGAACCGAACTGAAACCTATGGTGTCGAGTCATCTGTTCAGCTTGAAGTAGGGTTTAGCACGAACCGAACTGAAACCTATGGTGTCGAGCCGTCTGTTGCAAGCCAGTGAAGGCATTTGCATGTGGTTAACTCCCCTTCCCACTTTTTCTGCCATTTGTTTCTCATTCCGACCTCAACCACACACCCTCCAACACCACCCAGCTCTACACCAATGCGTACATGATAGTCTACATCCGCCAGTGCGATCGGGAGAAAATTCTCTGCAGCAACGATGTGGATGGCATTGCACAACCGTTGCAAGTATGTGTTTGTCTCGCACCTTGTCCTTCATGTGTATTGGTGGTGATTGTTATGTTATCGTTATCTGCTCCTTGCCTCTTTCCCCCTCCACCTTTACTCGTGTTGGTAGCTGCTTTTTGTCTTTTTTTTTTTTTGCATACATCATCTCGCTGCAGTTGTCTTCAGCAAGCATCTCGTGTCCTTTTGTCCATCTGTCTGCACCTGGTCAGTGTTGTGGTTTGGTCTTTGCTTCTGCGCCAGCGTAGCATCTTGGCTTTACCTTGCACGCATTGCCTGTCCACCTCCCACTTCCATTGGCACAGGCTCGGTTGAAGCGGAAAAGTGAGGAGGATCAGCTTACAGAGATCAAGGTGACACAGGAGGAGGACCTACGCCAGCAGATTGGCCAAAGCGTCTATGTTAATCTCGTGGACCATCGTCTAGTGAGGAGCTTTCGGGTGGAGAAGCAGATGCGGTTCTCGGAATTCAAGACAGATGTGAAGAAGGAACTGGGAGTTCCGGTTGCCAGGCAGCGGTTCTGGGTGTGGGGGAAGGGGCCAAGTGAAATGTCTCGACCGAACAAGCTCTTGAACTCAGAGGAGGAGGGGATGACGGTGAGTTGGAATTAAACGGATGGAGGGGGAATACGGGAGTGGGAATGTTGAGTGGGGAGGAAGACTGCTCTGAGTCGTCTCAAAACATAGCCACGTGCTTATGAAGTTGTTTTGCGGTGTCAAGTCAATGCTTAGGTTTAACATCCTTTTTTGAGAGGAGTGGTACCGTGTGGACGAGAAAACTTTGAACATCTGTTTTCCCCTCCCTCTTTTCACCCCAGGTGGGAAGGTTGAGGAACTCTCTCAAGAGAGGGAGCACCGCTGTCCAACTGTTTCTGCAAGCCACTCCCTCCTCTGTAAGTCTTAACAGCATACACTTTCGTTTCTCATCCATCGCCTTGAATAGTGTCGTCCAATTTCGCTGTGCATCACTCTCACCCTACATGAAGCACTGCTTCCTTGCGATGCAATCAAAGCTATCTTCTGGTGATTGCGCGCTAGTCTCCACTTTTGTGAATGACGAGGTAGTGTCTTTTGGTGATTTGAATTTCACTTCGTAATTTCCTTTTCCACCCATCCTAACTTCCACTTTCCGCACATATAAAGTTTGGGCGGGTTCCTGGCCTACCTTCTTGTGGTGTATAGAGGATCCTTGGTTGCTTGGACATTTTTAAGCCATTGTTTTCTCTCTTTTGTAGTTGCAATAAGAGGCTCAATCCAATGCTTAAGACACTCATTTCTCTTCGTGGATCTCCCCTAAAATTCAGTAGACAAGGACTCACCCGTCGCTCCTTTGCAGGGGAGGAATAAGGATGACATTCTGCTCTTCATCAAGTTTTATGATCCGATGCACAGCACCATTAGGTAAATGCTGTTTGGGAGGTGTGTGGATGTGCTTGTTTTCATAGATTCTTGTATGCATGATTATCCTTCAATCATTTGCCAACTTTCCTCCATTCATCACCCCCTCTCTTGACAACCTTAATTTCCCATTTATATTTTCCTGAATCTCTGTTCCCTCCTCCCAGGTATGCAGGCCATCTCTCTGTGAAGCCTGACAACACGCCTGCAGATGTGCTCGAGAGGATGAAGAAGTTATGTCGCGTCGCGTCCAAAGAGGACATCTTGCTTTTCGAGGTCTGTGTTTTGACGAGGAGCGAAAGGAAAGCAAGCGGCGTTGTCAACATTGATTGGTCTGTGAAAGGAGTACAAATGTCGTTCATGCAGTCTATGTTTATTGGCCGGTGAAAGTGTCAGTGTCTCTGTTATGCAGCCTATCACACCTCTCCTTGTTCATTCCATAACACAATATTCATTCTCCCTCCTCACGCATCTCCCTCCTTCCCTCTCTCTCTCCCCTCCTACTCTTTCCCTTGCCCTTTCTCCCTTCTCACTTTCTCTCTTGGACTCTCTTCCCTCTTCGTTTTTCTCTTGCCCTTGCTCCCTTCCCGCTCTCACAATCTCTCATGCCCTCTCCCCTCTCTTCGTAATTCTCTTGCCCTCAATCCCCTCTCTCACCTCCTCTCTCCTTGCCCTTTCTCCCCTCACACGCTTCCGCTTACTCTCTCCCCTGCTTCACAGATGCAGAAAATGAACATCAACCAGACTAAGCTATAAGCCTGTCGACATCTAGATGTTTCTAATGCTCCCTGCTCTCTTTTTCCTTGTCTCCCTACACTCCATTCTCCAGGAGAGCGAGAGGAGCTTCGGCATGGGTGTGCGGTGTGTCCCTGTCGACAAGACAGACATCTTTGAAGACATGCAGCTGGAAGATGGTGACATTCTGTGCGTGCAGAAGGCACTCACTGCAGCACAGAAGAGTGGTCTGAAGCACCCGGACGTGCCCTCATTCCTCCAGTTCGTGCAGACCCAGCAGGTGGTGCACTTCCGGCGCTTGGGCTTCTCCAAAAAAAAAAAAAAAACGAAAAACGAAAAACGAAAACTAGATAATCCTGACCCGACCTTTTTCAGCTTTCTCATTTCATTCACACAGTCATATCCAGACCTTTTTTTTTCCCACAAAATCACATTTCCCACTAATTCCTTTGTTCATTTACTCAGTTCCAAGCAGGACACATATGACAAAGTAGCGGAGCGACTAGCAGAGAAGCTCAGACTAGCTGATGCTACCAAGATTCGACTCACCGCGCACAACTGCTACTCACTGCAGCCCAGGCTGCCCCCGATCAAGTACCAGGGAGCAAAGTGCCTTGGTGAAATGCTTGCTCACGATGATCAGGTACATACAGAGACTGGCGTGCATGTCAGGCCTTGCAAAAATGCTGATACACATATCATGTGTGGCAATGATGCAGAGGAATCAGCATTCCTCATGTGCCATAACTCCATAGCTTTCACACTTCTTCTCTTACCGTGCGGCCTCCTGTTGCTTCAATCTTCATGCATTCCCTTTACTTTAAGACAGGCACCTGACATACCTCCCTAATTATACTCGTGAGGTCCATTCCCTCTACTGTTCCTCTGGGCCCCACTTTCAGGCATCAAGCATCCTCTACTTTGAGACGCTCAATGTACCACTGCCAGAGCTGGAGAAACTCGCAACGCTCGCGATTCTCGACATCACGTTTCATGGCAGCAAGACAAACAAGGTGGGTGCTAAGTTTAGATTCGAGGGGTGCAGGCACGTAGGTATTGTCTGCTACTTCGCTTCTATTTCTTTTTGAAAGATGTTGCGTTCATGCATTACGCTCTGGAATATACCCAGCCACTGCAGATTTTTCATGCTCAACATGTGACAAGTGTACACTTCGCAGGGGTAGCACGTGGCTTTTGAGATTATGTGTTCGTGTTTTTTTTCTCTCTCTCTCTCTCGAACGGTCCTTTCATTAATGTCGTGAATAGGGGGTACAAGCAACGTAAGTGGAGAAGATGTGGGTAAGTACCACTGCCATCAAACCCACTCCCCACCCTATTCCTATCTACTCTTCCAGGGTAGCAAAGCAGTCCCCTGGGTGTAGCACCCCTTCCGGCCCTCCTACTGGCGGGTTCTCCGCCCGCGCTGCTAGATTCAGCTTTTTAAGGTAACTCAAGGCCTGCCCTCGCTGCAAGGCCACGGACCATCGCTGGCGGTACTGGTGCAGCATTTTTGCCGCTTGGTATGATGTCGGGTCCGCGTTGAAGAGGGTGCGTGCGGCTGCGTCAGCCAGCATCTTGAGGAAGGCGGGCACCTCCTCGCAGGGGCACCCGTAGGTTTCTACCGCCAAAGGGAAGAATCCTACCCAGGGGAGGCGTGTTCTGTAGTGATCAATCTTTTTGTCTGCCATCTCCCGTGCCATCCAGCCCCGTCCCTTGGTGGCGTTTTCGTCTCGGCTGCTGATTGGGTCAGTGACTGTGACGTCACACAAGTGTACCGCTCCCGAGGTACGGTCTCTGATTGCCAGGTCCGCCTTTTGCTTATCCACTGGGCAGAATGCCGTTGTCTCCTTGTGCACTGTAAAGCCCGCGTCCTGTGCCATGCGCACACATTCATCCCTAATTCCGTTGTGCGTGTCAGTCCTTCCGTGTCCTGTGCCGCAGCGAAGAAGGTGGTTGGGTAGCCGTTTGTCCAGGACGGCGGTCCTGTCACGGCAGTCGCAGTGGTCGGGTACGGGGTAGATTTTTCATGCTCAACATGTGACAAGTGTACACTTCGCAGGGGTAGCACGTGGCTTTTGAGATTATGTGTTCGTGTTTTTTCTCTCTCTCTCTCTCTCTCTCTCTCTCTCTCCTCGAGAGAGAGCTCGAGAGAGAGAGAGAGAGAGAGATCTCTCGAGATCGAGAGCAGACGACTAAAGAGACCTCTCAGAACCCTCTCTCTCTCCCTCCCTCTCCCTCTCTCCTCTCCCTCTCTCCCTCTCTCCTCTCTCTCTCTCTCTCTCTCTCTCTCTCTCTCTCTCTCTCTCTCTCTCTCTCTCTCTCTCTCTCCTCTCTCTCTCTCTCTCTCTCTCTCTCTCTCTCTCTCTCTCTCTCTCTCTCTCTCTCTCTCTCTCTCTCTCTCTCTCTCTCTCTCTCTCTCTCTCTCTGTCCAAGCTAAAATTTGGCCCAACTTGCCAGAAACTGGGGCCTGCTCATGCCTATATTGAACTATTCCCCCTCTGGTTCTTTCTTTTTGGGGATTGTTGCTTTTCAGGTGTCAATGCACACGATTCAGGTGGACTGGCAATTTACAGTCGCAGATGTGCTTGCACAACTGAAGACAAAGGTAATGTTTAACATGAGCTTACGCTATAGCACCACGTGAGGTCTTAACCTAGGAAAATCATATTTTTCGTTATTTTGCACTTTGATGAAATGGTTGTCCACTCTCAGAAGGTTTTTGAATTGCTGTACCATTCAATCTCTGACTCTTGATTTTGACCACCAAACAAATCCCTGTTGCTGTCCGTCCCGACTGCCAGGTGGAGCTCTCTCACCCGGAAGTACAGCTGCGGCTGCTGGGGGTGTTTCCTGACAAGATATGCCAGATCTTGCCTCACACTGATAAGATCGAGAACATTGATACCCAAAATTGGGCCATTCATGCTGAAGAGGTGAGCACACCAGCACATAGTTTTTGACACACAACAGCATGCTAGGATATGTAACTCCTGTGTTCAGGCAAATCGGGTGTTATTTCTTGGTACCGTAAGATAAAAAGCAGCTTTGATGTTCGATAATTTTGATATCTCCTCCTGTCCAATCACTCCACTTGTCCGGTTTGAGTTACACATAAGTGGGTGCGCCCTCACTGTGAGCCTTTCATGGAATTGCTAGTCCCATCCCATGCATTGCCTTGGTGCTGGAAAATCCCATGTGTTCCGAGTCCATTGGAATGACGGCAATGTCACGATTTCATGCTTTTGATGGTATGGTATCTGTTTGCTGCTACTCACTTACATGGAATCACTTGATGCTACTGGATGGTGGTTGATAAGTTCCTATATATGTTACCCCTTTACCCGATTTAACATTGGTTACCGCTTATTTTTGGCAGGTACAGAGTCGGTGAGTGGTGTTTGGGCAGCACAGGAAGAGAAGGCAGGAGGTTGTGAATGCTAAAGTTCCTGGCATCGAGGATTGCTGCAACTTAGTTCAGGGGTAGTGCAACAGTACAAGGAAATGGAGGTTGAAGTTGCAAGCACAATCATGGTGGCGGGCTCATTACTGTCAATTGGCAGAGGGTTCGGGTGGTTGTGATATACAATTCAAATTCCAGTAGTGTGCCGTACTGGCAGTATGGTGTCATGTTTTGACTGTTGGATGGCATGTGGGGAGAGTGGCAATGGCATGTTCAGCAGCATAGGCAGGGGGTATAACGCAGGCTCTTGTGAGAGAACAGGCGTGTGCTGTACTGAGCCATGTAGTTCTGTGCCTGCACAGCACGTGGATGGGCCTGCTGAGCTAGGCTGCATGTTTGAAATGTGGGTGGAAAAGGTTGTTACAAGAATATAATGGCTGAAAATTAGAACTGTTGGGACAGAATTGCTTGCCTGCACATTTCACGTCACAACTGCCTTCCCTCTTTTTTTTTGGGTTGCGAAGCAACCCTTTACGATCGATTTTTACATTTTTTTTTTTCATGGATTTTTTAATTAAAAAAACAAACATGAAAATAAAATCTGTAAGCTACAGTATCACTCTTCCCATTGTGCATGTAGAACAGTTTTGAGTAGTGATTGCAGTTTTTTGAACGATACTGTAACGAAATTATATTTGTACATGTTTGTATTATGTCTTTTACCACTGTTTGATGTTAATGTGATAATTGCATGTTGTTGGAATAACCGAAAGGTTATAAAGGCATTCCCGAAGTTGCTCCACTGTACTAGTACCGCATTAGCTCATATAGAGCACGCGGAATCTCGAGGGACACCCGAAGGTCAACCGTCCAAGATAGTCAACGGTCGTGACCCTTGGCGATTCAGTAACCGCGCGACAGTTAACAGACTGCAACACGGTAACTGTCGAGAATAGCAATAGTCGTGGTTACTGTAGCTATGTAATACAGTTAATAAGGGAATGTACCCCTCAGAGTACATGGCTAGATAGTTTGCTATTTAATCACTTGTACTCCTGCTCCCTAATCATCTTGTTCTCTTTCAACTATTACTCAACAAGGTCACTACAGAGACTTCACTGTCTCCTCTCAGGCTTAACACGTTCTATCCTATCCACTGATGCTCTGGTTGTATCAGCATGGTATGAGAGCTAGAGTGGATTATAGGATCTGTCAAGCCCTCGTTCTTCCTAGAACAATCCTTTCATAAAATCAATTATCACATTTTAAGGTCTGCAACACTATGGCTCCTGAAGGGAAAGCTATTGCAGACTCACCGGGCCCACCACCAGCAACTACTAACGCGCCATCAGCGGTGACCTCCGTCAACGCCGCTGTCGTTGAGCAGCTAGTTGCACGCGTCAACGCTCTTGAAAGCCATCAGGCTATGAGCATTGATGGCTCAAGCTATGCACGTGGCGTTGCTGGACTTCCTCTCCCTGGAGAAGACCGCCGCGTCAACTCCGAGAGATCCTTCACCTTTGACAATCGTCAAGGGTCAGCTCCTGCACAAGACAACCCACAACGGTCGCAGTCAGACATCGCTTCAATGCAAACCAAATTTGTACTGACTTCAAAATTGAAGACCTCAATTCCCTTCGACGGGAAGGATTTTTACACGTGGAGTTTCGAATTCGAGCTTCTTGCGACAACCGCTCAGATCTGGATGTACTACGACGGAAGTCTGCCCTTTCCCTCGGAAGGCACCATCCAGGAGAAGCATCAGTACTACCACGAATCACTTCTCGCGTACACCGCTCTCCTTCGCAATCTCTCACCTGAAGAGCAGCTCGGCATTCGTCCGTACAAGACGGAGTGGGCTCCCGCGCACGCATCCTGGGAACACCTGCGCAACTCATACATGGCAACAGATCCAGTCACTATGAGTCGCCTGCTCAGTCAACTAACTTCGGTTAAAATGAAGCAAGGGGAGAAAGCGGGACCGTATGTTAATCGGTGCCGCAATCTGCGCGATCAAGTTAAGAAGTGCGGTGGTTCTGTCCCCGACGACATGTTCATCTCAATGGTCATTTCAGGCCTTGGCCCCGACTGGCGTCAGTGCCAGTCACTCCTTCGCGCCCGAGCAACCATATCGGAGTCGGCTCTGTGCGCCACGCTTCTTTCAGAGCAGAAGGAGATCGACCTGTACAACGAGAAGAATGTCAAGCGGGAAAAATTAGCCTTCTACACAGGAGGATCCCAAGGGGAGCAACGCGGAAAGAAGGGAGCTTTCTGCAAATACTGCAAGAAGTCTGGCCACTCCATCGACCAGTGCTACAAGCGTCAGGCTGCTGATGAACGGCGCAACAACCAGCAACCTTCAGCTCAATCCAAGCCTGCTACCGCAACCTCCACTGTGTCGCCTCCCTCGGTCGCCAGTACTTCTCAGTCCCCTGCGGTCATTTCGGCAAAGGACAAAGGGAAAGGGACGGTCATAAGCTGCATGGCTCGCCGCAGCAGAGGGTTCCGCTACTGGGATCGGGATCGAATTTCGTTCCCTTCCGACAACCCCAACCCCGTTGCACCCAGCTCAGATAACGACCCAACGGTCTTTACCTGGTCGACTCGCCCTTCAGACATCCCTCCTGACTTCGAGCTTCCTCCTCCTACTCCGGAATCGCCGCCGAGCATTCCCGCAAGTAGATATTTCGCTCTCTCGCCGTACACCGGCGACTTCGATCGCATCATTACGCCCAAGATCGCCAACCTTGCCCGCCAGCGCCACGAGGATCTGGACACCTGGTACCTCGACAGTTGCTGCGGGCAACACATGGTGGGATCATCAAAGTTCATCAGCAACTCTCGGCGCATGCGACGACCCTGCGAAATCACCGCAGCCAACAACGGAAAAATGAAGGCACATGAGATTGGGGAGATCTACCTCGAGGCGAATGACACGAAATTTACCATTCACATCGGAGACGTCCTCGTCGCGCCAGATCTCCAATACAACCTGCTCTCGTCAGCTCAACTCATGCGATGCGGAATCGACATTCGCAGCAACCGCAAAGAAAAGACCTCTGAGCTCTTTTATGATGACTCCTACATTGGAAAGGCGATCGACGACGACGGAGTCTTCGTGCTGCAGTTCTCGGCTCAGGGCACAACCGGCGATTCCCACCGCACGCTGCTCCTAAAAACGACTCCCACGGAGGCGCCAACGTGGTCACATCCCGACGAGATGGACCTCGAGCGACCCGCCTCTGACGGCCTTCTGCGCTTGCGCACTGTCCCGACCGCCTCGACCTCGAATCCTGCTGAGACCGGACCTGCCACAATGGAGGAAGACAGTGGCACGTTAGGTCCTGCAACACAACCTGCCGAGGAAAACACGCCGGCGGAAACGCGCTGGACAGGCTGGGATACTTCCGGACCCGCACTTGGATCTTGGGGCGAAGTCCTGACTCCAGAGGAAGCGGCCACAAGCGGATGGGGTGCCGTCGCAACGAAAGAAATTGCTGCAACTGGCCCGGGAACTCCCCCTACCCCAGCCGAGGAAGGTGGCACTGGCTGGACTCCTCCTGCCCCATCTGGGGAAGTTGGCGCAGAAGTCAAAGACGCAGCAGTCGGAGAAGCAAGGACGATCGGAGACACGTGGGGCGCCGGGGGAGGCTGGGGCGCTTCGGGCGAAGCGGAACAAGGGCACGCCGTAGCAGCCGGCCTTCCTCCCGCGGAAGTCGCCATCGTCGACCCGTACTGGGCAACTCGCGGCACCTGCTGGGGAGGTCCTCCTCTTCCGGATCAGTACGCCCCTGACACACCCGAACCAATGCCAGAAGAGTCAGAGGAAGAAGAGACCTACGAATTCATGGGGGGACCAGCGGAATTACCTGAACCTACCGAGGAGCCAGAGCCGCCGGTACAAGGACCCCAAGAAATTGAAGTCATTGGTGCTGAATACAGTTACTACAGGATCCCCATGTCGGGACTCCCCGCTCGGGACTGGCCCGATCGATGCCTACTTGTCACCGGAGACCAAGCCGAAGCTGGCGATACCGACGACATCATCGGTATTCCCCACCCGCTTCTGGAGAGAAAAGCAATTTGCGCACTCGCCGCCGAAACGGACAACGCCGCTGACACAGGACCTGAAGGGGAGGCAAACGACGAAGCAGCACGGCAAAAATATTATCAGAAAACAGTCGGCTACCGTGCGGACCCAGCAACATGGCACCAGCGGCTCGGACATCCTTCTCACGCCACGCTCAAAAACTCGCTCAAGGCTGGAGTTTTCGATGACAAAGCACTTCTCCTCCCCCGAGACGGTTCCCTTTCCGCGGACTCTCCCAATCCGCCGTGCATCGTCTGCCCGACTGCATCCCTCAACCACCAACCATTCCCAGACTTACCACCAGGGTACGAGCGCTACAAACCGCTGGATAAGGTCTACAGCGACTTCATGGTACTCAGCCAAGAAGGGCTCGAAGGGGAGCAGTACACGCTAACCTTCATTGACGCCTCTACGCGTTACGTCTGGGCCATCAACACCGACTCTAGGTCACTGGCCTTCGAGTGCTTCATTGCGTGGATGAAGCGGGCTGAGCGACAGTCTGGGCTAAAGCTAAAGGTCTGGCAAACAGACGGAGCCCTGGAGTTCTTCTCGGACGAGTTCAAAGAGCTCTTCAAGCAGAAGGGGATCGAGCACCTGGTGTCTCTGCCCTACGCCCACCAGCAGCAAGGTGTAGCAGAACGGACAAACAGGAGCCTCGCCACGCGGATGAGGGCTCTGATGAAGCAGTCGGCCATCCCAACCAGATATTGGCCATTTGCGATGAATCACGCTGTTCGGCTGCACAACTTGCTGTCTTCGCGAAGCCTCAAGGACAACAACTCTCCTTACCGGGCTTGGACGGGCAGAAAAGCAGATACACGCCTACTTCGGGTGTTCGGGTGCATGGTACAGTACAGACCCCATACTGCGCGGACGGGAAAATTTGCAGACCGGGCACGAT